CCTAAGCATCTTCGGCACAACAAGCTCGGTGCTAAGGCGATATGGGCTGTGCACTTGGGCATGGCTCAAAACAGCAAGGGGTGGCTTCTTTGGGACCCATTCACCAAGAAATTCTTGGTGAGCAGGGACCGCAAATTCATGGAGAATTTGATGTACAAGGATTGGAAGGCGGAGAATGAGGTGAAGATAGGCGTGCGGTTTGGGGAGGTGAAGAGTTCCGGTTTGGAGCATGTGGAGCTGCCCTTGGATATGAGCAGCGGCAGCACCACCACAAGGCAATCTTCCCTTGTGAATGGGGCAGAGGATGCCAAGGATGCCGAGGAAGAAGAGGAGGAGGTGCAGCAAGTGAGCGAGCGTGCACCGACACTTCCTTTTCGCACTACGAGTGCTCCTCGGATCCGAGTCACCCCGCAGCAACGCCAAGGCCTTCATGTCCCTGCAGCTGAGGAGGAAGGAAGGGGCAAGAGGAGAATCCAATCCCCTAATAGGCTGACCTATGATGCATTGGGAAAGCCAGCCAAGTCAGCTCTGGCCGGAGCAGCATTTATACTTGGAGATGACGAGGAGAGTGACTCCGAGGAGTGTGCCTTTGTGTTCTTCTCTCCGGTGGAGATGCCGGGGGAACCAGCAACTCTCAAGGAGGCCTTGGAGAGTAGTGATGCTGAGGATTGGAAGAAGGCAATGGAGAGTGAGCTGAAGAGCATTGAGGAGAATGGCACGGGGGAATTGGTGGAGCTACCGGAGGGGCGTAGTGCGATTACGTCCAAGTGGCTCTTCAAGATCAAGTACGACGCCGACGGCAAAATTGAGCGCTACAAGTCTAGGCTTATGGCCAAGGGGTACCAGTAGAAGGAGAAGGTGGACTATAAGGAGTTGTTTGCTCCTGTGGTGAAGCCGACGATGCTGAGAACCCTACTCGCGGGTGCTGCCATCAAAGGATGGGTGGTGAAACAAATGGACGTGACAACCGCGTTCCTCAACGGCATTCTCGAAGAAGAGATTTTCATGGCGCAGCCAGAGGGGTTTGATGATGGTAGTGGCAGAGTCTGGAAGCTGAAGAAGGCGCTCTATGGGCTCAAGCAAGCCCCTAGGCAGTGGTACTTGAAGCTGCGTGAAGTCTTGGAGGAGATCGGGTTCATTCCCTCATCCGCCGATCATTCCTTGTTCATGCTTGGCGAGGGGGAGCAGAGGATTTTCATGGTGGTTTATGTGGATGACATCCTCATTTTCTCACCCTCCTCTGACCTTGTGAAGGAGGTGATGCTGAAGCTTCAAGACAAGTTCAAGTGCAAGGCCCTTGGTGACGTGAGCTTCTACCTCGGGCTTCACATTGAACGCGATGTGGAGAAGCGGTGCATGCGGGTGCATCAACGAAAGTACCTGGAGGCATTGGCTGCCAACTTTGGGCAGAGTGAAGGCCATGTGGCTACACCCTTTCCCTTTGGGTTCAAGTGTGTGAAGGGACCAAAGGAGGAGAGCGTTGGTGAAGAGGAGAGGCGCCGTCTTCACTCGTTGGTGGGCAGCCTCATGTACTCGGCAGTCAACACACGACCAGACGTTACCTTTGCTACCGGGCAGTTAGCTAGGGTTGTGCAATGCCCTAATGAGGAAGGGGTAGCAGCTGGAATGAGGGTGGCCAAGTATCTTGGCCAAACACCGACCGTTGGGCTGCAATACTCGGCGGCGGCACAAAGGCGCCAAAAGAGCGTGGATGGTGTTGAACCTAGGCGTTTCTTCCTCACCGCATTCTCCGATGCCTCTTATGCATCGTAACCAGAGGACATGACAAGTGTGGGAGGCTTCATTTGCTGTGTTGGTGGAGGCCCAACTGCTTGGGAGAGCAAGAAGCAGATGGATCAAGCATTGAGCTCGGTGGAGTCCGAGTATATGGCACTCTTCCACGCCGTACGAGAGATTGTGTGGCAGCGGCGTTTGTTGGCTGAATTGGGGGAGGAGCAGCAAGGACCTACCCCACTCTACTGTGATAGCCAAGGTGCTATTGCTCTTGCTAAGAACCCTGTGTTGCATGGCCTCACGAAGCACATGAGGGTGGAGTGGCATTGGACGAGGGGCATGGTGGCCTCGGGTGAAGTTGAGTTGCGCTACGTGAAGACGGGGCAGCCACCTGACGGTGAAGTCTAGGCTTGTGGCCAAGGGGTACCAGCAAAAGGAGAAGGTGGACTATAAGGAGTTGTTTGCTCCTGTGGTGAAGCCGACGACGCTGAGAACCCTACTCGCGGGTGCTGCCATCAAAGGATGGGTGATGAAACAAATGGACGTGACAACCGCATTCCTCAACGGCATTCTCGAAGAAGAGATTTTCATGGCGCAGCCAGAGGGGTTTGATGATGTTAGTGGCAGAGTCTGGAAGCTGAAGAAGGCGCTCTATGGGCTCAAGCAAGCCCCTAGGCAGTGGTGGGCAGCCTCATGTACTCGGCAGTCAACACACGACCAGACGTTACCTTTGCTACCGGGCAGTTAGCTAGGGTTGTGCAATGCCCTAATGAGGAACGGGTAGCAGCTGGAATGAGGGTGGCCAAGTATCTTGGCCAAACACCGACCGTTGGGCTGCAACACTCGGCTGCGGCACAAAGGCGCCAAAAGAGCGTGGATGGTGTTGAACCCGGGCGTTTCTTCCTCACCGCATTCTCCGATGCCTCTTATGCATCGAACCCAAAGGACATGACAAGTGTTGGAGGCTTTTTTTGCTATGTTGGTGGAAGCCCAACTGCTTGGGAGAGCAAGAAGCAGGTGGATCAAGCATTGAGCTCGGTGGAGTCCGAGTATATGGCACTCTTCCGTGCCGTAAGGGAGATTGTGTGGCAGCGGCGTTTGTTGGCTGAATTGGGGGAGGAGCAGCAAGGAACTACCCCACTCTACTGTGATAGCCAAGGTGCCATTGCTCTTGCTAACAACCCTGTGTTGCATGGCCTCACAAAGCACATGAGGGTGAAGTGTCATTGGACGAGGGGCATGGTGGCCACGGGTGAAGTTGAGTTGCGCTACGTGAAGACGACGGGGCAGCCAGCTGACATGATGACCAAGAGGCTGGTGGAGCAGCAGCATTGGAAGTGGTGCAAGCTGGCTGGGATGGCTCTGAACCCAGAGAGCAAGTTCCTAAGGCCAACAATCCGAGGGGGAGTTTGTTGGTGCAACCCTACGGTTTGCATTTGGCTTGTTGTCCGTGTGCGTGCATGCGTGTGTGCATGGAATGGTATGAGGGCATGAAATAAAATATATTTCATGCTTAAAATAGTGTGTGAATGATGAGGCATGATTTTGAATGTGTGTGTCGAGTCAATAGCGAGTTATCGCTAGTCGCGTGTCACGTCGTCGTTTTCGTGTCGTGTGCGGTTTTCTATTTTGTCGTGTTTGCAACGTTGGCGTGTCGCGGGTGTGCGCAGCAGACTTCCAAGAACTCAAGGAAGAATTTATCTTGAAGAACCAGAGCCTTGGTTTCAAGATTCAAGAGATTTCGAAGCTCTCCAAAAGGTTAACTTTAAGATAGTGAGAATAGTTGCATTACTTTGTGTAGTGTAATATTTGTCTTGGTGTAGGCCCTTGTGGAGGGTAGTTTCGAGACCCTTCGTGGTTGGGGACAGTGTGTCACTGTTCCACATCACTGTACCTCGGCTCTTGGGGTTTGTAGGAGCTGGGAGTCATTCCCAACTCGTAACTCTTCCTAATTTTTGTTCTAAGACTATAGTGGCTGCCATAGTGCAATTCGTTCAAACCAACGCTGTGTCGTCAATTTTGAATGAAATCGTGCAATCTACATTGCTTATTATAGGCGACGTTAAGACGCTTCAGATCCAAGTTGAATCAGGTCATTTGAAGTTGTGACAAGAACGCTATCAACGTTTGAAGCCGCTGTGCAGAAATCCGACTGTGCACTCTATCTTTCGTTTTAGGCACATTCAAGCCTATTGTGACTGTAACAACGACTAGTCGCAGCCGAACCTATTGTGTGACGAAGTGTTAACACCGCTTTTTGACACGGGTTACAATCTTTCCTGAACACCCCAGTTTTGGTTTGGAAAGATTGGGTTGAAGTCGTACCTCCACTCGTTGCTTCACATTCACATCCGCCTTGCCTCTTTTTATCCTACCGCCTTCTCTTGGTTAGCCTAGCTTGTGGAGTGGAGAAATTTAACCGTGCTTAGTCATTTCGATGCTCAAATTCAGGCTTGTAGTGATGAAGGTTCGCAAGAACCGTAACTAGTTTACACTTGTTCTTATTCTAGGCTGAAGATGGTTCGCCAAGAAACACACTCATCTATTCACACCTTCCTCTCTCTCACCAAACCCATGGGGTTCGTCTCGTTATCCTAAAACATGAAGAGTTGATGGAAGTAAGGCGTCCGCAACCCACCTGTCCGTTTCTGATACTTCCTGCATCAAATAGCACGGTTGTGGCCAGAGGTGTTTCATCATCAGATGACGATTCGTCCAACTTAGAGGTCCCTAACAAGACCTCACACTTCTTTGTTTTTTGCGCTTCCAAGCGTCAACGGGAGGAAACTTACGATTCTCATTGGCTGTAGAACGAGAAGTTCGAGTTTACCCCGATATCATACTCCACCATCAAGACATCACAACAATCAGCATTTAAACCACCAAGAAGAATAGCTTCTGCATCTCTTGATATGGCTACTAACGCAAAGTGAGTGATAACGTAATCCTGAGAGCTAGTATCTCCCAAAGACCAATGCTACAAGACCAAGGGCTCTGCTTTGGCAATGAATTAAACTTATGTTAGCAAGAAGCTAATTGTAAAGCAATCAAGTCGTGTGTTACATACTTGAGCCTCATGCAGCAGGTCGCTAAAATTCGCGTAGGGCATGGGGAAGGGGAGAAGGATATAACACATATTTGAGCAATTTATTTCCCCCATATAATATTTTTCCCTGTAATATTAGTTCCCCAAACGTCACAATTGGTCTCAATATTACTTAATCACTCTAGCAATAAGCAAACTAGAGCAACCATGACATCTCGCCCTACTCCCCGCCCTCCTTGCCCTCCCCTTGCATGTACTCATCCACACACACGTCGTCCTCATCCACCTCCACCTCCCCATCCTCCTCCAACTTGTACCCCTCGGAAAGTGGGGGGTGGGAATTTTCCCCTTTACGATTCCCCCCCTCCTTCCCTCCCCACTAAACCCTACAACAGCTGCACCCTTGTGGTGGTTTTGCAAAACATTCCAGTTGTGCGCAACATACACAAGGTCGCGCACCTTCTGCAACCCGAGCCTATTCCTGCGCGCCGTGTGCATGCCATCCCAAACAGCCCATTTCCATTCTCACGAGGCGGCGGAAACGGGTTGGGACAGCACACGGAGAGCAAGGTAAGCCAGGTCGGCATACTCCTAGCCATGAAACGGCCGCCATGCAAGCATGTTCCCCTTCCCCTCCTATAGCTCCTCATGCCCCGCTATCGCCTCCTCCGTACCGAAGCTCCCCTCACCATTGATATAAGCCAACATCCCCTCTTGCAAACTTTTGTGCGGCCCCTTCTTGGACGCCTTCCAGTACTTGTCAACGAAGGCCTTCAAGCGGGCCACCCACGCCTTAATCACCTTGGTGCACTCGACATCCCTAAGGAAAATCCCCTCCACCTGGTTTGCCAGATCATGCCATACTGTTGTCCTAGCGCCTCCTCAAGTGCTCCTGCACCTCCTCCGTCTCCTCCTCCTTCAGCCGACACTCCTCGCTATCCAGCAGTGTCGTCAACTCATCTGTCGGCTGCAGCATGATATTGTAGATTGCTCCCATCATCCCCTTCGCCTCCGAATTTGTCCTCCTCATCACAATGAACGGCAGCTCCATGACCTGCACAAAGAACTCCGCCTTCTTCCACCACACCCCATCCATCACCCACCCCTCGAACTGCTCCTCTGTCGCCTTCCTCCCACTCCCCTTCCAATCGTCGTACACCACCATCTGCATCAGCTGCGGGTGAATCTTGCAAAGACGGGACACTACGTCATACTGCGACCCAAAACGCGTGCACGCTGGTCGCAACGCCTGCAGCGCCTTCTCGTCGTGCAACTCGGGACTCCGCAGGAAGGCGCGCGTCCCTTGGTGGATGCGCAAGAACCTGATCATGTCGGTTGTGCGGTCAACCACTACCTATGCCCACTCCATCTTGTCGATGTCCTCCATCAACAAGTCCAGCACGTGGGTGGTGCAGGGGTCGACCTCGATATGCGGCCACTCGAGCTGCAGCAGCTTGCAGACAGACGCGTAGTTGATGCCGCCGTCCATGCAAAGCGCGATAACGTGCTCTGTCCCAATCTTCTAGATACACCTAGCCCGCGCCAAATTCTATACCTCCAATTTCACACCCCCCCCCCTTGTCGTGACTCGGGGCATTGAGGGTGGGGTGCAAGTTTTGGCGACAGACATCTAACGTGTTTGTCAAGTGCTACCATAGGTCAGAGGGCACTGTTGCTCAAATAGTGCACCTGCGAGGTCACGGTGCACTTCTCACGTTCAAAATTCAAAGGACATGAGGAATTGAGAGGGGGTATTATTTCGATTTGACGCGTCTGTATTGGTTCGTTTGTCACCTACATTACAAGCCAGGGCTTACTGATCACAAATTTGTGTGCATTCCGCCACGACGAAAAATTCCCTGCATCCAATCACAATTTGAATGCCCATCAATCCTACGGGAGACACACAAACAACGAGAATTACAACCAGCGAGCTTACCACAGAAGCCCAACTTCAAATCCAATTCGACAACCATATAGCTCTTTTCCCTACCTCTCTTAGTAGTATCTTAATAACTACAGTAGTAGCCATGCCTATGCAGAGGCGAAATACTGCTCTGACGATTGCTGAAAAGAAAGCTTTAGTATAGAATAAGGATGCAGACAAGGGAATTGCCCATAAGCAACTCGTACGTGGTTGGATTCTGAATTCGGAAAAAAAATCATGTTATACAATGGTCTCTAAAATTCATGACAATCGTGCGTGTTGGATGCAGAATACTTGTCAAAATACTAAGCACCTAGGAAACTAGGTTTAGGCTTAGGAGGCATAGGTTGAGGCTAAGCATGAATGTCGAGAGAGTTGGAGTAAGAAAAATCAAGAAAAAAGGGGGTTTCACTATTGAGCAAGGTACAAGATATAGCAAGGAGAAAGCCACATGGTACACCACCTACAGCAAGTGAGATACACTACAGTCTACACTACAGACAGTTATAAAGAATATATAAGTATATTCTAACACACCCCCTAACTGCCTGTAGTGAAGAACCTTGTGCACAACACCCCCTGAAGGGATACACCAGGCGCAGTGGAGGAAGGAGAGGGCAAGTGAAGAGGAGGAGGGACCATGAGAGGAGAGAAGGTGATGGGTGGCGGCTGAAGCTGCTGGCACACGGGCAACTGGAGCAACTGACACACCGGCAAATGGAGCAACTGGCACACGGGCAACTGGAGTAACTGGCTCCGCGGCTAAGCGAGCGGCTGGAGCAACTGACTCACGGGCGACAGGAGCAACGGGCTCACGGGCAACTGGCGCAACGGTCTCATGGGCGACTGGAGCTGCTGGCTTCACGGCGTCCACCCCCCTTCAACTTCCCCCATTTCCCCAAACCTCCCTTTCACACCCCTCCGCACCCCTACCGCCACTCCCTCATCTCCCCCACACCCTCCCCCCCCCCCACAGCGGCATGTGCAGCAGTGGGAGAGAGAGGGGGGGGAGGAGGCGGCTGGTGCTGCAGATCCCTTCCTGCCACCCCCTTAACCTCCAAGCTCCCCCCCTCTCCCAACACAACAATAGGTGCGGCAAGGAGAGAGAGGAGGAGGTGGTGGGCAGCTGGCTACTCACACCCGCCACCCCCATACCCCCCCCCCCCCCCCACAGCGGCATGTGCAGCAGTGGGAGAGAGAGGAGGAGAGGGGGCAGCTGATTACTCACACCCGCCACCCCCATACCCTCCCCCCCACGGCTGCACGCGCAGCAGGGGGATGGAGGAGAAGGGGGGGGCAGGGGGGGCGGTGTAAGAGCTGCGCGGGTGACAGCAGGGCGCGCGATGGGCAGAAAACCGTCGGGCGCCACACTCGCCACCCCCATACCCTCCCCCCCACTGCTGCACGCGCAGCAGGGGGATGGAGGAGAAGGGGGGGGGGGGGGGGCGGGGGGGGCGGTGTAGGGGCTGCGCGGGCAACAGCAGGGCGCACGACGGTTACCCTACCCCCACTGCTGCACGCGCAGCAGGGGGATGGAGGAGAAGGGGGGGGGGGGGGGGGGTGTAGGGGCAACGCGGGCGACAGCAGGGCGCACGACGCGCAGGAAACCGTCGTGCGCCACATCCGCCACCCCCATACCCTTCCCCCACTGTTGCACACGCAGCAGGGGGATGGAGGAGAAGGGGGGGGGGGTGTAGGGGCTGTGCGGGCGACAGCAGGGCGCACGACGCGCAGGAAACCGTCGTGCACCACGGGTGCATGACGGGCACGAAATCGACGCACGCCCGGGGCGCGCGACGGGCAGAAAATCGACGCGCGCTCGGGGCTCACGACGGGCAGAAAACCGACGGGCGCCCGGGGCGCGCGACGGGCAGCAGAGTGACGCATTAGAAGCGAAGGGTGGGCCCAATGAGAATAGTCCAGGATCGGAACTCACTCTGATAGCATGTCAAAATACTAAGCACATAGGAAACTAGGTTTAGGCTTAGGAGGCATAGGTTGAGGCTAAGCATGAATGTCGAGAGAGTTGGAGTAAGAAAAGTCGAGAAAGAAGGGGGTTTCACTATTGAGCAAGGTACAAGATACACTGAACGAAATAATTGTCCACATGTTCATGTTTCAAGACATGAACGGGCATTAGTGGCCATGGTGATTAAGCCTTAATAACTGGACCACATGAGGTTAAAGCCCGAAGGGGTGTACATCTAAACACGCTGCATGTTGGTCATAAACTCGGTTAAACAATCAGCGAATATAGAAATAGGCAAATACTAGCATAAGGACAGTTTTTTGCAATTACAGTCACACATGCAAACCAAGCAGAATCTAGTACTTGGTCCAGCGACCCTTGGCCTTGAGCACAGCCCGCACACGCCTAGGCATGCTGTCGATCAGCTCACTGCACCAAGCCGCAGGGCTTTTCTCCCATTCCACTTGTACTCTGTCCCATAGCTCGAGAATGCCTGCAGGGGGGCGGGGGTAAGCAAGCAGCTGCTTCTTCAAGTAAACCCACAGATGTTCCATGGGGTTGAGGTCCGGACTAGATGCTGGCCATGGGAGCACAGAGTACGGCTGCTCGGCAAGGTATGTTTTGACCATCTTGCATGTATGCTTCGGGTCATTGTCATGCTGGAACACAATGGTCTCGGGATCCAACTCGTAATGCTCAATAGTCTGCTGCAGCTCGTCTTGCAGGATTGAACGGTACAACTCGCCGTTCATTGTTCCCTCTATCTTGCACATGAAACCCCCGCCGTTGTATGTCATGCACCCCCAAATCATGATGGAGCCACCGCCATGTTTGACGGTCTGTTTCACATGGTGCGGCTCCATGTGACAGTCCTCCCTAATCCAGGCCCAACTACGGCCGTCGCTACTAAACCGGCAGATCTTCGTTTCGTCAATCCACACCACGTGTTTCCAGTCGTCGATCGTCCAGTGCTGATGGTCCTTGGCCCACTGCCTGCGGTCCTTGACATTTTTCGCGGATAATCTAGGCTTCGACGGCTTTTCTATCGCCCTAACTCTGTGCCGCTTGAGAGTGTTTCGCACGGTGGCGCCCATGACACTGATGCCGTGCGTAGAGGATATCATTCCCGCTGCGACCTCGGCGGATTTCGATTCACCAGACACTATCGACCTTATAACTATCCTCGCGATTTGCTCTGGTAACTTGCGCGGCCGACCAGGTTTCGCCGGGGACGGCACTAGCTCGTCGAACGTTTTCGGACCGAGGTGGCGGAGGAGCTCGTCATGGACGGCAGAGTTTGAAACTCCCAACTCCTGCGCGATTTGGCGGTAACTACGCCCCTCCGCAATTCGCTGCATGATGCGCTTCTGTTTCTCCTCGCTAAGGCGCTTCATGCTGCGGGGGTGTTAGCACTACTCGTAGATCGTAGTATCCACCCGTAATCTCCTCTGAACCCCATGGTGGATACTATGATCTACGAGTAGGCGCTTTCTACTCGTAGATCGTAGCGCTAAACCCTCTAGATCTAATAGCGCACGAAATAAGGCGCGGGACATTTCGGAAAGATTTGTCCGTGTGGGGTGTCATGAGGGAAGAGCTGACTCATTAGAGCAAGAGGTTTTTTTGGGGCTATAGGTAGCCTACACAAACTCGTAACTGTCAATCGCGAACCCTGTATGCAATATGTTTATTACAAAACTTGTTTAGGCCCCAATTGGGTGCAAGTTATCATAAATTTCGAATGCATAAGGACAATAATTTCGTTCAGTGTATAGCAAGGAGAAAGCCACATGGTACACCACCTACAGCAAGTGAGATACACTACAGTCTACACTACAGACAGTTATAAAGAATATATAAGTATATTCTAACAATACTTCGTTATCAGTGACTCGTAAACGGCTTAGCACCGGGCACCATCCTCTCGTCAAGAAGTGGGCGATGATGAAAAATGCGCAAAACCTATTGTTAACCTTCCAAATCATATGGTTTATGTGGCAGAGATAGGTCGGAGGATCCATTCTAAGAGCTTTATGGCCAGTGACGAATAGTTGTGCCGTGCATCAGTGCGCACGGGAATGGCAAACTCAGTTAGGAAGGGAGAAGCAATGAGCTCCAACACTGAGTCAATTGAATTGGCACGCGAAAATCTACCGCTCGTTTTCCAAGGATACAAAGCACGCGGCGTCTACAGCTTAGTCGAAATGCGATTAATGCAAGGGCAGCAGCAACGATATATTTATGCGACGGAACTTGTGGCGGGAGGGAAATTAGACAAGGAAATAATTAGTCTAGCCTTATGTGTTAATGCCAATGGGTCGGATTTCCGACCACCTATTGTGATAGGCAAGTCCTTGAGGACGAGATCTTTCAAGAACGACTTCCACGTCCTTGATTATGTGTGGTATCGTGCCCACAAAAAAACTTAGATGAC